AAAATATTTTATTGTATTGTATTTTATTTTAATTTAAATGTTTATGTATTCATTCATTCATTCATTGTTTTATTTTATTTTATTTTATCTAAAAAATTATTTCGTCAAGCTCATATAATGCTACATTGGTTTGATGTGTAATCCACAGCACTGCTTCAATCTCTCACAGATCGCGATTCGTCTCCAAAATTAGTTATTACCTCCCACCGAGATGCGCAATAAATCATTTGTCTGTTACGTTTCAATTCATTTTCAGTTGTTCCCCACCTGGAGTTGAAAACCTCCATTAGTCTGACAGTTGAAGGGTTAAGGGTGACAGCCGATCACTGTGATTGTCTTTTATTCGAGGAGGCACAAATGAACAGCTGGCCCAGTCCAACCAAGCATCTTTTTTTTTTTTTTTTTTTTTGACTGACTGACTGACTGACAGTGATTACAGCCTGTCAGAGAGCAGATCTTCCACCTGTCCACACCAACTCAGACGCGACCATGCGGAGACAAAAAAAAACCCATCTCAGCCTCTCCATATTAAAATGGAGGGTCTATTGACGTGATGCAATTTAACCTGGGAATACAGCATCATAATATCATTCACAGTAAAGGATGGTTGGGTCTAAATAGATGCCTTGTAAACATCGGAGTGTTTACTCCTGCATTACTTCTGCTCTATTTGTGTATGTGATTACGGTGATGGTTTGCATGTCGCTAATCAAAGTGGGAGCAATTTGAATTCCATAGTCACCAGAGTGTTATTAAAAGTCACTCCTATTAATTAATGTTTGCTTATGTGTTCAGATATGGCCGTTTTGGAAGGCAGTAGTAGACTTGTTTTGAAGTATAGCAGATGCTGATTGTCCTCATTAAAATTTGGCTTCATTAAGGACTAAAGAGTTGGGATTTTTGCTTATAGGAAGTTTTGCCTTTATGTTTTTTAAAAGTGCGCACTTTAGGCTTGTTAGAGGAATACATTTTAGGGCTGATTTTATGATGCTTCAATTTGACTTTGAGGAATGATGAACCCTAAGAAATAATAAATTACATAGACGCTTGTTTACTGTACAGTCAAAATTATTAGCCCTCATGAATTTTATTATTATTTTAAAATATTTTGTAATATAAAGTGTTGTTTATTGAAGAGAACACAATATTCAACATGGTGATATACACTCACACATATACATTTCACAGAGGGGCTAATTATATTAGTATATAACTGTATATCTGTTTGTTTGTTTGTTTGTTCATGTATGTGTTTTTGCATGTATGTATACAGTAATGCTGAGAGTATCCATCGTATATGCTGAAGTCAGCATTATTACCTTCATGTTTGTGTGATGTAAAAGTGCGATGCTTTCAGCTGCAGAATGCCGTCTCTCCTGGCAACCACAGTATGCAGGATCTGTCTCCTGATTGGCTGCTGGTTTCATGAGCGATGATGAGGCCAATAGAGGCGCAGACAGACTGGCAACATTTTATATGTTTATTGAGTTTGTGAGGTCTTAGAATAAGATTATTATTTATCTCAGTCTTGCTTTTTAGATACGAATCTTGCATGATGTCAGACTGACAATGCAGCTGCGTCTAGATTTTTAATTTTTTTTATTTGTCATTCTGATCTTTTTCAAATATTATTATTATTATTATTATTATTATTATTATTATTATTAGTGTTAATAATAATAATAATAATAATAATAATAATAATAATAATAATAACAATAATAATAGTATTGCTGTTATTATTATTATTATTATTATTATTATTATTATTATTATTATTATTATTATTTTATTATTATTATTATTATTATTATAATAATAATAATAT